ATGATTCAGAGATCATGTGCGCAAATTCAGCAACTGGTTCCAAATGCTAAATCTGGCTACTACTGGATTTACATTAAACGCAAGAGGGCGCAAGTGTACTGCGACATGGACAATTATGGTAGGGATGTTTTTTTTAGGATTCAATTATATGGTCTAAAGGAATGAAGGGATCAAATCCATGCAACGTTTCATTTATGAAAATGCTAAAATTCGTCTTTATTTTGTTATGCTCACTCGATTTGGCATGTTACGGGCAGTTCAGGGATGAATGAGTTAATGGTTTGATCCATAAGGTCTGTGCAAAAATTCAGGACCTCACTGTGTCAAATGACAGACTGAATTATAAGCTTTTGAAGGATTTTATCTTTAGGCTAGAATAGACCAAAAATAAATACATTAAAGAACAGTACTGACAGCTGTCTTAAAATGACGTTATAATCTTACTGAGATTAACCTTTCACTGCCAAACGTGCCCAGAGTCAAATTTAACAAAATTCTAACTTTAGTTTCGTCATTAAAGAATGCTGAAAACAAATAGAGGACACTATAGTAGGGAGCGAATTATCCCTTTTTGCGGTGGAAGAAATAAACGCCAATAGCATCATAGCCACGTTAATGCTTTCTTCCTCAAAGTAACGAGTATCCAACGCAATTTTTCATGAGATAAAGACAATAGGCTATGACGTCATCAGTCTTAATTTATTCCATCGCAATCTAATGAGATTCCCTCACAAAGAAAGGATAATTTGGTCGTAACTATACTACTTAGTACAATGTCTAAGTACTTTCAAAGAGGTCAGTGTCATTTGAATGGAATACCATAGGATTTTCTCCATAAACCCAAAAGTTAACCTTCGGATGGACACGCAAATTCATACCCCCACCGTGGTACAAGTTGACAGGGGGTTGACAGAACCCCTCCCCAGAGTTTCTGATATGTTGCAGTATTTCGAAGCGATTTTGCCTTAAGTGGAAAGCCTTTAATCTTCTCAACAAGGTGAGGTATATTGTATGTGGGTGGTGACGCTGCTAGAGTCCTTTGACGTCACCAACAATGGTTCCCATCTTGGATTTTGTCAAGAATTAGAAATCAGCTTAACATCGCGATAAATGGTAATTTTTAGTGCTTGACCTGCAAAATGACACAGAAATAAATACTTTGTATCATTTTTTCCACAAGTTTTACTTTTATTGTTGAAAAAAGTTGAAAAAACATGCATTTTCACACAAAAATGGCTTGACCACCTGCTACTTATGACGTCATATCTAGTAACCATAGTAACTGACCATCACCAGGCTTGTCTCAAAATGCGTGCGAGGGATAAATGAACAGCAACTGAAAACGTCAGCTGCTGACGTTTTATCGTCTAGGAAAAAAATATAAAAAAAACCTCAGTGGGGGGTGGTAACCAGCCCCCCTTGTGTGTCCGAGGGTTGAGACAACCTTGGAGACTTTCACTCTAGCAATAGGACGGTTAATAACGTACATTATTAAAAACTGAATAATTGGATAATGAAATTTTAGAGCTCTGATTGGCTTAGCTATCATGGTATATGAGCCTTTATACCATGCTCTCCAAATATGGTAACTGTACGCGTCTGCTCAAAATTAAAAACTAGTTGAAAATCGTTTGTGTTTACAAATATAGTCAGGAAGAATTCTCCATATTTTGTGGGCGATTTTTTATTCCCCTCGCGCTTGTTGGATATGAGATGATTATAGCCAACTCATATCAAACGCCCACTCGTGGAATAATTGTTAATTAGCTGCCTGCATAATACCCCTAATGCTGTGAGTCGAAGCCTAAACTAAAATCGGAAATGAGGCATACTCAAAAACGCCACGTCGTGCATTTGCGGTCGGCCAAGGAACGGAAAATTGAGTTCTGATCAATCAGACCGACTTACGATGTTTATCACATGTGCGAAAATCGTTCGTTCAATAAGAAGCCACTGTCCCGCTTTTCGTCATTTTCTGTCACGCGGATCATCAATGGTCTGATCGCCCTGGTGGTTGATCAATTGAGCTTACGCTTGTACAGTTACCGTGAATTATTCTTTTATATATTTATGTTCTCGTTAACTGTAATTTTTAGGCGGAGGATGGACGCTGGTTGTAAGTATAAGGTCCTCTAGCAGGGATCATCTTTTGAATAGAGAGGTCAACTGCTACAGTCCAACACGATGTGTCGAGTTCACCAACTCCCAAATTCCCGGCAGAAAACTTTCAGACGAGAGCATTCACGAAATTTCCACGTACGAAGGTAAGGCAGTCTGAATATGAAAATCCTTTTTGAAACCTAACTCAGAGAATAATTCTGACCGCAGTTTTTTATGCCACTTAGACAACTTCCAGGATCATAGTTTAGTTTCAATGCAGGGTGGCGTGGGAAATTTTCCTCTGCTTTACTATCCAGTTTACTGTACCTGTCTTGCCTAATATTGAGGTCCTTTCCTTGTATAGTTACATTGAATTAAAATTTGTGTATTTAATGGTAGTATCACCCTAGTCAAGTATAACAATACAAAAACCAAAGTCGACCGGCTTAAATTTTGACCGGACGCTTTGTCGAGACGGAACCGTTAAAGATTTTCCCCCTGCTCAGACAGAACTGACGTAAACAGTTTGCATGAATTATAGCTTTTTCTGTTGTTTTATCATCTACTCATGCGTAGTAAATTTAAAGTGGCGCAATTACCGTACGGTTGGCATGGTCCCATGTGAACAGTGAGAGATGACCAAAGGAAGGAAAAAAGAGAGTCACTCTGGAAACGAAATTAGACAAGAGAAACGACGTAAATTTTACTTGTCTTTTTAGGTACATTCAGGGTCGATAAAGTGACAGCCGGTTTCACAGCATTTTATCAGGTAAACAGTAATTGTTTTTAATGACAATTCTCACTTGGAAGACATTGAAATTCTCAGTTAGGTGTTTTTACCGGCTAAATCTTAGTCAAATTCAGTTCTGAAGCATAACGTTTTGCATGAATTGATTTATTTGGATCGCGCTGTTTCGACCGCCTACTGCTGGTCTCCATCAAAAAATGGTGTCGATTTGCTGTGCAGGACTATCACTAGCACCTTTGTTGGTTGCACGGGTATTAGTGCATTTCCATATTAGGAAGCTTAGGTGACGACGACGGCGACGTCAACGAGAACGGTGAAAAAGGCTATTAGAGAGATTAAGAGTCACGTTTACGGCAAACTGCTAACGTCCGATTCAAGTTGAGAGTTTCTCAAAATAGAAAATAAGCAGATAAAAACTGTCCGAACAATTCTTATGGATAAAACTGGCGTGAAACTACTTATTTTTGAGCAGAAGTAATCTCTCTATTGGCAAAACAACAATGTACTCGGCACGTGCATCACGCTTGCTTGCACATTTCTTTGCCGCCACTGCACGACTAAAACGTTGAAATGTCTAATTTCACCTTTGTGAAGGATGTGCATGAACATAAGACGACTTCCTTTTTCCCCCTGAACTTCGATACAGTCTTTTAGAATTCAACTCCAGGAAAAATTGCCATCAAAAAAGATTTGAACGAGATGGAATAAGCGTGATAAAGTTTGAGGCAGCGCAACTTCACTTTTTAGGGGAAGTTTTTCGTATCCCTTGTCGTCACCAGCAACGACAACAAAACCTTTATTATATTGTCTTAAATATTTCGCTTAGTAGCTAATTGGGGACACTGTAATAAAAATACTTAAAACGGATAAAAAATATCTATATATATTCATATGTAAAACATTTGAGAAGCTAATAAGAATATACATATTACAATTTACTTTTAGTTAATTGCTATGAATATTTATTAAAACCGATTTCCTCTGTAATTAAAAATCAAAATGGACATAAATGACAGTTTTCACAACTGTCCTCAAGCACGTTTGCCAAGTCTCTTCGTCTTACATTTCTGATAAAAAGTTTCAAGTTATCACTATATATCATCACTATATTTATTGTTGCTTAAGTTCCCCTATTGTTAGTCTTCTAAGTTCTCGGCCTTTGGATGAGCTTCGTAACCCCCTGAACCAATATCAACTATCATGTGACAAACAATAAACGAACTTTATCATGGTCGTTACTGTTAATTTTGTGTTTTATAGATTCCGGTAGGAGCAAGGTACTTTGATTCTGAATGCCGACGTTTCAGGTAAAACATGATAAATTACTGCAACTCTCGTTTCACATTACATACTGAAGAAGGGACATCATTCCTGTTATGGTTGGTCAACTGGATTTTTTAGGGAGTGTACTTCCTCGCTTTCAGCGTTTACTACGTCGGCATTAACAAAGATATGTTTCGCTAAAAGGTCACTGGTACCGCAGCTGTAAAATATAAAAATGAAAATTTGTCATGATCCATGTTCTATTGACATGGCGGTTGTCATAACAACGTAATGACGCCATTACGTTTTTTTACTTGCCTTTGTATTTCTTGGTACTTGGATTTTTTTTAGAAAACGTTTAAGGGAGCTTGTACCTCCCTTAGTTGCCTCGTTTATGGCAAAGTTTGAAAAAAATTATGTAGAACGTTTTCGAAATATTTTTGAAACGGAGTTTTAAGTGTCATAGAAATACTGAATAAACATGCTATCGACATAATTGGCTAATATCTAAAGAAAATGTTGTCTGGAAATGCATGCAGTTTCATCTCATAGTGGTTTGATTCCATTGGAACTGTGTACGAAAAAAGACGGGTATTGCTTTGGCCGATTGCGAGAAAGAAGAATTTGAGTAACCTACGTTGGGCTGCTTTCTTTACTATTAATTTTTTATGTAATTTGCTCCACACTACATACACTACCCACTTTCGCATATACTTGTGTGGCTTGACACTCAGCTGGTAAAATTACTCAACATGTCTCAGGGATACCATGAAGGGGTGTCAAAAAGTAGCATCATCGACTCTCAACATATGGATTTATAACTTTAGCTAGCACCCCACGCCGAAGTCCGTAGGATATCGTCACGCGTTCCTCCTCCACGAACACGAAGTTACCCAAAGTTGGAAAATGGCTCCTGAGTGGCCCTTTTCTACGAACGAAAATGACTTCTCGTTTCAGCAGACGTTCGTGGAGGAGGAACGCGTGAGGAAGCGCACGTGGGAGAGGCTATTACAACTTAGACATTCCATTGTGTTTTATAGCTGCCCTCGCATCATAGTGTCTCACGTGTACCCCTACCACTGGGAATCAAACTGCAAAGGGATACTGAATGGTTATCGTATACATCCCAGCGGCTGTCACAGAGGTAAGAAATCATACGTAGTTGAAATCATACCTGGTGGAAAGGCCCTGCAGATGTAATGCTTCAATTCACTGCAAAGCAGAACTTGCTATATTTATGAGAAACAATGTCTGTATGACTTATGATCTACCGCTATCCAAACCTTCACACCGCCTTATTAGCGCAGGTCACTGGCCGCAGCTTTCCTTAGCGGAATCGTTGGATTCAAACCGCGGCCATACCACCAACCAAGGCCTTCAAAAAAATGGTAAGATCCAGCTAGGTGTTTTTAAGATTGTTTCCCTTAGTCAAAATGATACCGCCTTTGGGCTATGGCATTAAGCCGTTGATTATTTCCACTTCGTTCTCATTTATTAATCTTAGAAGAGAATAAAGGAACCCACGGTAATGCGATTCAAAAACAGAGGTACTTTTACTAGGTTGTGTCGTGTAACCTCTGCCTCTACTCACTTTACACATCGTACAAATCATGGGTTGGGCGGGCCTGGTAGCCTGCGCCGCACACACTCTAAACTCTCTGTATAGTACGAACTATACATTATGGTTTTTAAAATAAACAATGCTATTAAAAAAAGATGCGAGGGCCGGCTACAACGCAGGCGACGGGCCCGAGTTATCTCATATATGGACTGACTACCTCAACCTGTCGCACAATCTATGCATAAATTGTATCAGATTCCCCTTCTAAACATGTAGGATTGTAAGCCAAAATAGGTTGTCAACACAAGATTTTAAGCCTTTTCACTAAATATTTTCTCTTGTCTTCCAGTTTTCGACATGCATGACGATTCTGAATGTGGATCGCGTTGGGACTCGTCGAAATTCGGTACGCTTGTGCATATAAAATTGTCCTTTTGTCTATAGCAAAGATTGCGAAGAAATGTTGAAAAGGCACTATTCGAGCATGCAAATAGTACATAGTTCCTCCAGCTCAAGCGGTAGAACTGATGTACCAGAACAATAATGGTCGCCTTTTTCTAGTTCAGTATTAGAAATATGGTCTTTCACTGTATGTTTCTTGGGAAAAAGGCGATCATTATTACATCCAAACACGGCACAGGGATCTTTTTTCCCATTACAATCTTATTGTAAGAAAACTTTAAGAAAAAATGTCCCGAAAAGCGCTCGAAAATACAAACGAAATGTTCTCATGCCCCCTGGGCATCCTATAATACTCCTTAAATCGAATTAATTCAAATGGCCGTCGTATCGGTAAAAGGTCTATTATAGTAAAATACTGACAGCAACATAGTCTCCTCTTCAATACGCGAAATGAACGCTTTTGAAATTCAGACGAGAGACAAACCTACCCCCCCTCCCCCCACCCCCTACACTGTATAAAACAATATATTGATAGGCCGTCATTATGAGTGAGGTTTCTTAGTATTAATGCGGAAAATACACAATTGAGGTTGTTGCGTCAAAAGGTTTTTATGCTATGCAAGTAGACAAGCTGCACCTTTTTGTTATATTTAATATCAGCTTTTGCAATGTGCTTTTCATTTCAGCGACAAATCGAGTGTTGTACGCTTACGCTTGCGGTAACAATTACGGAATAGCAGACAACGCGGCAGGATTCCTGTTTGTCAAATAGAGGAGAGATGGAAGAAATTGAGAATCAACAATGTTAACTTCAATACCGTAAACTTGCACATATAAACTCCTAACACTTATAAGCCCTTCCCAATAGTCCTTCTACCTGTTATGTAACAAAAAAGGCAGGGATCACCTTCCCCTCCCCTAACCCGACATTTTGCCCCAAGTGAGAAGTAAGTGTTAATGTTGACTTAGGGGAGGGGTAGGTGGGCAGTTTCCCAGAGACCTAAATTGATGCAAAAGTACATCCGTTTATAAGCCCCCCTCTAACTTGTATTAAAATTGAATTCGATTTTGTTACCGACTGATGTTTTAAATCTTAAAAAAGCGAGTAATTTATAAAAGTATTTTGATCAGCACTGCTATGTAGCTTGTTTTGGATACTTTTTTAGTCCGGTTATCTAAAACCCTCCTAAAATGCCTTACGTTGTTTAAGCCCAGAGCTTAAAAGCGGAAGTTTACGATATTATACAACTACACGAGAAATTTCTGCAGTTTGATTGGCTTAGAGCAGTGGAATTTCAGTTTAATTTGAAATACCTAGATATGAAAATTACAAACCTTTTGCGGGTAGTAGTATAAACAAATAATAGCATGATTTGTACGTGATATTTGGCATAATTACTACTCGTGATATTTCAAAATTGTCTCAAATTTCACTCGCCTAACGGCTCGTGAAATTACGTATAACAATTTCGATTTTCAATTTTTCACTCGTGGTATTTATGCCTAATATCACTGCAAATCATGTAATTACCTATACTAATATTTCAATTAACATAGACACACAATTTCAGCAATATATGAATATCATCGTAAGCGACGGGGGCCTAGTCCATCCTAGAAGACCGATTTTGGCTCCTTGTGGTACCCAGTTGGTTTAAGTGAAGGATTCTCGTAGAGTGGTTCTAACTTTCGATTCTGTGGACAAAATATTATACACTGGACAAAAAAATGGATTTGCTCAAATTTGCTCCTTGCAAATACGTCCCAAATTTGTAAAAACTTAGGAGTAAATCTGGGGCAAAGATAGAAAATACCACATTTGCAGACCAAAAAACAGGGGATTCAAATAACTAGGCAAATATGGCCTTTACGATCTTTTCCTCAGATTTACTCCTCATTTTTTTACAAGTTTGCGACATATTTGCAAGGAGCATTTTGTGCAAAATAGTTTTATCGTCCAGTGACAGTGTGAACATTCAACTGAAGCCTCCTTGGCTGTACTTTCACATGGACAGTCTGTTTCTCAGAATTTTCTAAAATGAATTCTAGAAGGAAGTTGTTGGGTTTTGACTTACGGCCACCTTTGCTAGTGTGATTTAAGGTTCAGACTGATATGAATGGCTTAGCGGGAAATAAAAACACGCTGACTGGCTGTAGAATTGATGACAATTCAAATACCGCAAGAGGCTTGGTAAAGCGCAACATAAAGATTTTTGAATTTCGGGCTGAAGACCAACCTCTTCTCCCCGAGGCTTTTTCCTCATAAGAGCGTCTCTAGTGAATTCCGTCAAACGGCATAAAATTTAACCGTGATCAACCGTCAACAATGAAGATCGATATTAACCGTCAAAAAGCTTTCAGGTATTTCAAATCTCACTATTTCAGATGATCTTCACGGGATTCTTGCTCCCGAAGAATCTCGAAACTGGAAAAACGAGTTCAACTATTCTTGAAAACACTCCTTCGAGACATTACGAGACCATCAACTTATATTAATTTATACAGAAGTTAACACGTACTTGAACTGTTTGGACTAAGTTTCCACTTAAATAACCGTCAACCGTCAAAAGCTCTTGAACTTAGGGAAAAAAAAAATACCGTCAACCGTCAATTAGCTATCACCCCATAGAGACCGTCTTATAAAAAGAAGCCCTGGGAACGTGGTTTGCACACACACCAAAGCTTAAACATGTTTAAAGTTGTTTAGTAAAACACGCTTTAAATTTGTTTTCTTAAAGCTGCTTACTGTACTTTTATTGTTGACAAATTTAGGCCACTAGTGAGGAGAAGTGTGACATCACGTAACCATGGAAGCAAAATTTCTGGATCACAAGTGAACGACAATAGAGAGCTTAAGCAACGACGACGGCGATGGCAACGAGTACGGCAAAAAAAAAAAAAAGCAATAGGTTTATATAAACAAAACAACTACTTCGCACTTGCATCACGCTTTTTTGTACATTTCTTAGCCGTCGATGCGCGACTCCGACATGAAACTTTCTCATACACGCCTGCTTTATAAAGTAGGTGAACATAACACAAAAACTTTCTTTTAATTTTTTTCTAAAATAGATACCCCGAAAATTTTGTCAACATTTGACAAATTAAATGAAGTTGACTAAGATCGATGAAGTTTGTAACAGTGTCATAATTCACTTTTGCTTTGTTTTCAGCCAGAAATTTTGTTACCGTGGCAACGTGACGTAACGGCTTCTTCTCTCTATCATGCAACGTGTTAAAGTTTAAATAAAGGTATGATCCTCGCAGTGGTAATGGCAATTTAAACAACTGGGCCAAAAGTTCGAATCCCGTTAAAGTCATGAAATTTTTTCGGTTAATTACCAATGCAAGGATCGTATGTTCACTTAAATTTGTATTTCCGCAGTTCACATCTTCTTCATGTTAAAGTTCATTTGAATTTTATGTAAAAAGCTGTGTTCTAGTTATTGTCTATCACCATTTTTCATTTTTTTAAAGCTGGTTTAATTAAACACGACATATTTAGTTGGTGTGAATGGAGCATTAGTTTACTCAGTACAAAATGGCTGAATACGAATATTTATCAAAACAATTGGCTGTAAACTTGGCATCGGCTTCATTCAGCCCTGTCCCAGTTCATTATGTATCTCTTGAAGATAGATTAAAAAAAATAGACCCTTCTTATTAACCCTATTCAGACCCGGATTTTTTTTTTCTTTGGCTTCCTGAGTTCGAGCCGGGAATAGTTATAGTTCTTAACATATTTTTACACCTTACGCATATATATTGCTAGTTTTCAGTGTCACGCCATTCAAAATAGATCAAAACAAAAATCAAAACCATTCAGCAGATAAAGTCCAGAATCTAGGAAATTAAAGGAGGTAAATATACAAAGACCCTCGGCAAGATTTGGGTCAAAAGAATAATTCGTATACGAGATATCCGAGGAAATGTTTTACCCAAATTTATAAGAGCTTTGTTTGGAGACGCCATGCTGGTGCTCATCTGTTACCGAGTTTTGCTACAAAAGCGTGAATTTACTCCTAGATGAACTCATAAACATTAAAGTAATACTTTTTGTAATACTTGAACTGTTTAGATAGCAAAATTCCTCGCAAAAAGTCACTTTTTTATCCTAAATGACAGCTCTCTCGGCCGTCATGTAAATGCTGCGTCACCCAAAAGCTTAAAAATTCAAGCGTACTCTATTACAAAACCAAGAACCCTTTAAAGCAAAAATTTGTTTGAAAATTAGTTTTCAGCTGCTCTAACACAACATGAAAGTAAAATCTCAGTAGGATCGATAGTTTTGTAGTTTGAATTTAAGTGACGTCATGTGAAAACCAACAATATGCTAATTCTTTTAACCTTTTTACTTACTTGAAAATGACCGAAGATCGGTCGAAACGTCGTTTTTTCGCCGTAATTTTTATTGTTAAGTTTTAGAAAACCCTTACTTATAAAATGAGGAATGTCTGAGTGTGTATAAAGTAAACCGCCCAATGTACCACATGGAAATGGATTATACAGTATTTACGGACTCATTGTTTTTGTATCAGAATACTTTGTGCACAAGTGCACACTCATTTTCCATTAGGCAATTTTTATTTTATAAAGCGTTGCGTTCGAAAATGAATGAAAAGGAATGATCATTTTTCGACTCAGCTTTTGTCAGACCTTACCAGGCCTCTCATGTTTGTTTAGAAAAAAACAATAAACAAACAAAGTTAGCAATGGAACCTCAGCCCTGAATAGGTTTTAAGGGGCTGCGATACTACTTATGTTTTTAAACCTAGTTTCTTTTTTATCTCTATATTTGTTACGCTAGTAAAGATAACGGTCTTTCGTTAAACATTTATAACATTGCCGTTGTGCAAAATACATGAAGAAAAGACAGTTAATGGAATATTTTATGAGGGTAAATGAAAGTTAGGGACCTTAAACTGCAGGACAGAGCATTTTGTAAAAGCAAAGTGATTAATAAATTAGTGAGTCATGCCTGGCTACGTTTCAACTTTATCAAAAGTTCAGAGATGTTTGCAACTGCAGTTTTACTATTCCTTATTCGCACCGTTACGAGCTGCCAAGAGTCACGATGCAACGGAACGTCCTCGTTACCAAACGCCCGCTTAATAGGAAGAGCCTTCCTTGTACAAGAAGCTAAAAACATGGGAGACTGCATTGACATCTGCGACAAGCTTTCACAGTGTCGAAGTATAAACTTCAATTGGGTTCATTTTCTCTGTGAATTAAACAAAGCCGATGTCCATATTGCTCCCCAAAGTCTTATTACTTCTAAAGGATTTGTGTACTTGGATAATCCATGGATAAAATTTCAGCTGGTGAGTTGTGGGAAGGTATTTGTTGAAAGCTTGGAAACACAGCATTTTTCCCTGAATAGGAAAATTGGAGCACTATAAAATGTTATTAGTAAACAGCGTTTATGTATGTTTTTTTGTTATTTTAATGTTTTGTTTTTTATTCAGCCTGTTTTCTACAGTGTTGTTATAATGTTAAAGTTTCCGGGGATTTAAAAATTGAAAAAATAGCCTGTTTAGTTTTTGTTGAGTTTGTTACGTAATACGAGAATGCAGCTGCGTCGTATTATTTTCTGTGGCAGCCCTATTAGGTGTAATCTTAAGATTTAAGAAGGGAGGTGAAATAATCGACCAGCATTGAAACCCAACAACATAAGGTACAGTAGCGTCATCGTTTCGAACATTTTTTATTTTAGTCGTCGATCCTTGTGAGTTCGGAAAAACAATGTTTTCATAAACTCTCCACTTTAGAGCGTTTTTAAAAGTTGAGTTTTCGTTGAGGCAAATAAAGAAGCAAATAACAACAACAAGCCGTTTTATTACGGGTGGATTCATTTGCAACATACGCGTATAGCTGCCGCATTTGCCTGTTGGAATTTTCATCAGTTGCTTTAAAGCCTAAAAACAATACAAAATTCCAATCGGTAAATGCTGACAGCTATACGCGTATGTTGTAGTCTGTGTAGCTGGTGAGATTCTCGTACCCGGGGTACTTTCATGACGGCCACCCGGAACCACCACGCGAAGCGAGGGGTGAAGCCTCGCGCTAATCCCGCCAGCTACGCGGGCTACGTGTGTTGCAAATGATCCACCCTACGTATACCTGTGGACGGGGCCTCAAATTCTCTCGAGAGTTGAATTTCATGCATCTGACATGACAAGTTGTGAAAACTACTGCATTTGCATGTTCTCAGTGGACTAAGAAACATGTTGAGCTTCCTGTTCTATAATTTGCATTGTATTTATTCACTTTGGTCCCATTTAAGCTAAAGGTCACAGCTTAAAAATGAATCAAGTGAAACAGGGTCTGGTCATGTGTGGTGATTCAACTTTGCTTGAACCTTGGCAAGGAGTGACTTGAAAAGTTAAGGGCTGAGTTTTTTGAGGGCAAGACACAAAGGCGAGATGAAAATTGTGTTTTGAACGCCGTAAATCAAACAAATGTATGTGTTATTCACGGTATTACTTTATATGGTGGTTTTCTTTTTTTCTTTTTTTGTTTCATTTTGATAGCTTAAATTTTTTTCCGCGAAAAAGTTGAAATTTCTTATGGCCGGTACGAAACACAGGTCACTAGTGTAGGCACAGTTGAGGTGACTGGTTATGAAAGCCCGCAAACACCAAAGATGAAAACAACGGTGTTGCAGATTAGTTTGGAAGCTCCCTGACTGTGCAAATGCAATCCTTTGTTTTTTTTTGTTCACAAATTGTGGCTGAATAAATTGATGCGATGTTTCTTTCGAGTGTTGTCACATGACGTCACGGCGGCCATATTGGTGTTCCAAAACAACCCTGTGGGAATTGAACTCTTCTCTCATGTAAAAACTTTTTTTTGTTCCAATAGATCAGCATAGATGCTGGCCACGTGAGTGAAAACGCTCGATTGGCCAGTAAGTACAAAATGGTAGAACAGAAAGATATAACAAAGAGGACTGTCGGGCTTCATAACCATTCCACTTTATTAACTATTGTACAGCTCACTCCTCTATTGATAAAATATAAATTACTGCATAAGCAGTTTCCCCGCTAATGTTCGGATTGTGATTAGGGCTATGGGACACTTTTGGTGTTGTTTATTTACCGTAGCATGGTGACCTGTAATCTAACCTGCATTTGTGACCTGTGACGTGCTACGTTTTGTACCTGTCGATCGAGTTTCTTCCGTACAACATCGATAGAACATGTAGAACAAAACTTTATGTTTCCTGGGACAAGGCGTCCATGTTGACAAAACAATGAAAAACATTTTCGCACAACCAAATTTGCATGAAAAATAAAGGTTACTTCCAGTTGAGGATATTCGGTTAAGAATTTTGGTCGTTTAAGGGCTTAATATTGGTTGGAGGTCCGGGATGCAGGATTAGAATCCATGTAACTCAGGTAAAGTCCAACAATGCTAAATGTCGCCATTTTCTGCTTGTTTGTCAGACATCGTGTGCGCACATTCAGCAATTAGTCCCGGATGCTAAATCTGGCTACTACAGGGTTCACATAAAAGGCACGAAGGCGCAAGTGTACTGCGACATGGACAATTATGGTATGAACACTTTGTATCCTGCATCACTTTCAATTGTCTTTATTGCTACTTAATCCACATCTAAATTTACTAGCTACAGGGCGCGGTTAAGTAGGCGGGGGGAGGCGGGGGCAGGGAATGGTAGGCCGAGAGAATAATGTGCGGCAAGGTTACTCGAAATGGCAGAGAAAAGAGCGGGAGGAGCTCCGAAAGGAACAATGATTTCCGCCACAATCAAAAATAGGCTAAAGCCAGGAAGCGGGTGGAAGCCGGGAGCGTCATTTTCGAAAAATACAGATCTACAAGTAGCGTACGTTTTCGAATCATTTTCTCCCTTTTACATGAAAGCGCTTCAACAATGGAAATACATACCAGGTTAGTTTTGAAAATTGGGGGATACCTTAACTACCTTTGTTTTTGAGTCTTTCTTTTAATTCTTGAAAACTGTTTCTTCTTTGCACTAATTGACTTAAAATTGTTGAAGCTTCTTGAATTCTCCAAAAAAAAATAATAATAATAACACTGAAGACTGAGGCCTGGTTCCGACGCCGTACTTTTCATGTGCCGAACCTAATTGAATAAGTTCGACTTTCGAGCGACACTGGCGCGATGTCTGATTCAGAAGGCTCACCGTGTGTCGCAGTTAAGTTCGACAAAAGTTCGACAGACTCTGTAGAACTTAATGCTTTTGCCGCACCAAACTAAAACTGGGGTACCAAATAGACTTCTTTAGCTTGTATGTTTTGTTTCCCAATAGACTTCCCGGGGAAAATTAACCCTTTGTCTTCTCATAAATTATGAGTAGGTATGTACGTGAATAAGACGAAATGTGAATGGAACAGTTCTCTAGAGTATTAGCACATGACCAGTGTATTGGGAAAACAAAACATACAAGCTATAAAAAGGTCTTTTGATTCAGACGCCGCTCATTTGCCGTACTTAATTCATCAGCTAGGTTCGGCACATGATTGGAGCGGCGTCTGCACCGGATCTTAGGCTACGTTCACACGGGGCACCGCAAGAATTTTCAACCGCTTGAAAATTCGTGTGGTACCACAACCGTAGGAAAATTTAGATGCGTAGCCATTCAAAGTTCGGTGTGAACAGAACAAAAATATTGAATGGTCCCGTGTGAACGTAGACTTTAGTAAAAGTTCTTTATTTTTTTTCTTGGTTGGTTATACCATTTTAACTAGTCATACTCATTTGGCACGAGATTCACCGGTCGAAAGTTCTACCGGTAACGTCATGATAATTGACCAATAGGCAGTGAACGATATTTCACGCCGCTCCCGACACAGCATTTGTCAAGCATTGTTTTCCCGCGTAAATTTATAATATGATTCAAATCCATTTAGAAAAAGTCGACCTTCGTGACTCCCTCGCTCGCTCAGTCGCTGCACGACCTTATGCATCGAAGCTCGCTTCGCTGTTTTCAAGAACTTATGACAGGTGGACTTGCAGCAAGTCTAGCACGGCGCACGGGACGAATTTTCAACCGGTTGAAAATTCATGCGGTATAGAAGGTGTTCCGTTCACACGGAACCACCACAACCGTACTAAAATTTAGACGCGTAGGCATTCAAAGTTCTGCGTGAACAGAACGAAAATATTGAATGGTCCCGTGTGAGCGAAGTGCCCGGTCAAAATTTTCAGCCGGTCGAAAATTCGTCCCACGGTAATTTTCAAAGAGTTATAATAACTTCTCTAGTGGGGTTAATTAACTCCTTACAGTGGAGTTATTTTTGGGGGAGTTATTTTATCAGTCGAAAAAGGACTTTAAAGACTCTTTTTCAGGAATAAAAATCACCTCAGATTTGGAGTTAATTTTGAGGAGTTAAAGTAATCCCCCAAAAGGGGTTATCCTGTACCTACAATTTTTAAATTTTGGGGGTTATAATAACTCCCGAAAAATTATGTTGCCGGTGTCATGTAACCGTAACCTGCATAATGTATGGCGAATCTAATAAGTCAGGGAAAACAATGCACCCCAACCTCCAATAATGTCTTTTGGAAAGCTTCCAGTCACCAGAAGCACTAATAAAAAAGAATGATCATTTACATCATTTGAAACATTAGGTGGAGGATGGACGCTTGTTGCAAGCATCAGTTCTTCCAGCAATGACCATCTTTTGAGAGCAGAAGTCAACTGCTACAATTCAACACGTTGCGTTGAGTTTGAGTTAACCAACACGTCAATTCCATGCAGAAAGTTATCAGATCCGGATATTCACGAGATTGCAACACAGGAAGGTATATACCGTATTTCCTTGAATAAGCGCCTTCCCCGAATAAGCGTCCAACCGTGCCCCTTTCGAATAAGAGCTCCCGTTCCCTCCCTTCTTACTTTCCCAAATAGTATGGCTACAAGAAAACCTGTTTCTATCGCCATATTATTGGTGTCATAATCGATATTTGATGATGATGATAATCATAATAGTAATCAGTTCTTGTTTTGCTAAAAAGATGCTTTCCAAAAAAAGGGATTTTTCTCGTTTAAAATGTCAGCTTAAGCAAAAAAAATTGACACAGCATTTTTGTAAAGATTTTACAAGTTTCAGTCGAAAAGGGAATGCGCAATGAGTAAACTTGTCGAGTTTTCAACTCAAAAGCGTTTTCAGATTGGTGCATGCGTGGTTACCGCGCGAAAAGCAACACACCTTGACGTCACAGCCATGTTTACATACTCTTATGCAAACACGCCTCTCGGCCAATCAGAGCGCGCGTACTGTCTTAGTTATTTTATAAAAAGGCTTATAAGTGTGCGGTGTGTAAGTGTTGGTGGGCGGGGGAAACTTATAAGCGGTAGTTTAAGGTCTACCGTTGGACGGAACATACACATAAGCATGCTAGCAAACATTGGGACTATAAGCAGGTAAAAAGCTATGAATTTCATGCACAAGGTTACGAAACAGGTCATCAATACCAAAAGGTGGTCCATAAAAATCCTTGCTAAGTGCATGTCTGCTTTAAATTTTTGTCAATGGCAAATATTCTGACTACAGTTTCTTTAACTAGGTACCTTCAGGGTTGATCAAGTCAACGATGGATATACTGCATTTTATCAGGTAAAAGCATACGTAATTAGCTTGCTGCTGTGTAAGTGGGAGGATTAAGGTTTCAATGATTCTTTATCTGGAAGGTTTTATTCATTTAAAAGTTCTTTGAAACCTTGCCTTATTCAGAATCGCTGCAGGCAACAGTTTTGCGTTTTTAATCGATTCCTTTTGCGCTCTTCTTTCTCTTTAATCTTTTGCTTCAAAACTCATAACCTTGTTTTTTTATAAGAACTTCAAAAACTCATTAATAATTCATAAATAAAAAACAACAGAAATTAATGTTTAATAAGTGTCTTTACATCTGATAAAGATACGGCTAAGCTTTATGTTCAATTTTTTAGACCAAAATAACTTCAAATCTTAGTATTAGTGCAAGAATGAATTGATCTATATCAGAGATTCTGAAGTCGTTCATAAAACGAGCAGTCATGTATTATCAGGTTTAAAAACTTTCGGCTTCGCCTCGAGGTTTTAAACCTGACGATACACTCCTGCTCGTTTGTTAAACAGCACCTGTTATTCACCTTGTTTTCTTCTATGTAGTGGTTATTGAGACCTTTTAACAACAGCCTTAGTTAACCATTTTCCCATTGCTCAGCTATTTATTGCTATCTTTGATATTCCTTTGAAATTATCCCCTAGCTTATCTAGTTTTGCTATGATCTACGATAGGTATCTAAAAGGCGGCGTTTTGGAGCGATGAAGTCACGAGAAGAAGACCCAACCATATGATAGACTTTCAGAACGTTTAATTAAAGGGCTAAGTACCTTCAAACCACTTTCACCCTTTAAGTCCTAAGAGTGATCAGCATCAAATTTCTCGTTGTAATATCAATGCTTTGTAAAACAGAGTGGTCATGAGAATTACAGACAAGATAGCACACAAAGTGAATTTGCGTGATATTTTATCAAGTCTCGCCACAACTTCTGTAGGAAATGAATAGGGGCAACAAATGAGAACTTTGATTTTGATCTTACGGTTTAAAGGGTTAATAAGGACACTGAGAGGACACTGAAAGTACCAAGTGGGGTTTGACTGTACTGCCAGTTGTAATGCGCGCGTATAACGTTTTACTGTTTACTGCTTTACAGATTCCAGGAGGAGTGAGACAGTTTAATTCTGAATGCTACACCTACAGGTAATAAAACTACAATACCAATGATGAAATTTTGTAACGCTTAAAATGTCCCCCCCCCCCCCCAACCCAACCTTCTTTTGCCCCCCAATTCCCTCCCCCCCAATTCTTTTTCCCTTTGTTTTTTTGGCCCCTTTGGTCCGAAAAATTTCGAATTGCTTTTAAAAAGTTTTTTTTGGTTTTGACCGCCTTTTATTAAAACTTCTAATTTCTTTAAGTTTGGCCATTTGTGGATAAAATGACCCCCCCCCCCCCCCAACCCAACCTTGCTTTGCCCGCCATTACTCATCCTACACATTCATTTCCCTTTGATGTTTTGAGCCCCTTTGGATCGAAGAATTCGAAATCGGTTCAAAAATGCTGTTGTGCGTTTAGCAGCGCTTAATTATAATCATCGAATTCCTTAAGATTGGAGCATCTAGGGATCAAGTGGCCCAAGTGGAGGGGATGGTGGTGGTGGTGGTGTGGGGGGGTGGGGGTGGTTGAAGAGGATGGCCCCCATTTTATTTTAAGGCCAAAACTGAGGCCGGTAGGACTGCAGCTGGGAAAAACTATTTTTGAGGTCATCCCCTCTTATTTGTCTAGATTAGCGAACTGCCACTTACTTCAATCAATCTATCAATCAATCAATCATTTATTTTAACTCGTTACGTCAAAGAGCTAAAAAACTCGTTCAAAATACGAACGTGTATAAATAAAATCTACAATAATTACGGCTATTTTATAATATTATTCAATTTTAAAAACAACTCAATAAATGTATACATATAAAAAACTTGGTAAAAAAAAATATATAATAAGCTAAAACCGACTACAAAGCCACATACTAAAAACGTGACTAGGAAAACTATAATACTCGTTCTAAAAACAGTTAAAAGCTACAATCGTGCATTATAAGACACGTTCTAAAAAGCTGCAATCGTGCAATTTACTTCTGAAGTCATTCGCATCACTTGAAAGACGCACTTAAGAAGGTAAGCTGTTCCATAACTTAGTTAATGAATAAGTGAAAGAATTAAATTTAAGATTAAAGTTAAGTAATTCCAAACTCAAGCCCTCGCCTCTTAGCCTATACGGTGTATGCCTGTATTTAAAAAGGCTTCCAATATAAGTAGGTCCGGTACCATTTAAGCATTTAAAAAGAAGTATTAACGCCTGGTGTAAGCGCCTACAATATAAGGATGTCATGCTAGCCGTAGTGAGCAGCTCATTTATCAGTGTGGTTTCAGGAAACATCATTTTACGAAATTTCGGCTTTATCTTTTGCTGGTACAATAAGGGGTAACATTGATCAAGGTGAAATGACTAGAGCTGTTTTTATAGACTTCCGCAAGGCCTTTGATAGCGTGAATCATTCCCTGGTATTAAAGAAGCTTTATGCCCTTGGTATCGTACATCAAGAATAGAAGTGGTTTGCTGACTGTCTTAAAGATAGAACTCGGATCGTTGTGTTCAAGGTAGCTTTCTCAGACGCTGAATCTATTTTTGTTGGTGTGCCTCAAAGATCAATCCTCGGACCTCTTTTATTTGTGCTTCATGTGAACGATTTACCCACTGTTGCTGGCAAGTGTAGTATGCTAATGTACGCTGATGACACTGTCTTATTCTATTTTGGAAAGGTTGCTGCTGCCATTGAGAAAAGTTTCAATAAAGATCCTGGTTCCATGATGTAACTTTTAAGAGCCGATACATTAAGCGGGTGTTTGAATTTAAGTATTTAAGATTTGTATTTGATGAATATATTTCTTGGAATTCTCATGTTAAGTACGTATTATCCCGAGCTGGAAACCGACTGGGAATACCAAGACGCATCAGGGGAATTTTACATCAGACTGTGCTAATTCCATTTACACAGCTTATATTGGTGTGGAATGGCTACGGAGTCAGCAACAGTTCGTCACTAGAGAGGCTTCCAATACGTACCAAAACAATGAGCGACAATGACAAAGCTTTATATATTATCTTAAATGGTCGTCTTTTGTAAATAGACGAGAGAACCATGTTAATGAACTCGTTAAAATATGCATTAAAGGACCCTGCCTACAAATATATAAAAAATATTTCACATTTGATAGTTCAGTACATAATCGCAATGCTAGGCAAATGAACAGGTTGCACTTGGCAAGATTTCGAACTACTGACATTTCTAGATTAAAACTCTTTTTATTACAATGGTTGTAGAAGGTAAACTTTTAATGTTTTTTTATTGATTTTATTCTTATTTATTGCAACTTTACATGGTCCATACCTTAAGAATAAACTTTTTCTTAGCGTTTACCTGTAGAATTCACATCTCTGTATTGTATAGTTTTATCAGGGCCCCGGTAATTGATAGAAGAGGTAAGTCGTCGGAATGGGCTACCCTAATACGAACAAACAAAGGTCTTCCGTTTCTCTTATTTGAAAACGCGAACCTGCTGCTGCTATAGATAGTTATCTCTTCAAGTAAAACCTTGTTGATTTTTTTTTCTTCCCAGCTGCCCTCGAATCATAGTGTCGCACGTGTACCCCTATCAGTGGGAATCAAATTGCAGAGGGGTACTCAACGGTTACCCTATATGGACTGGCGGCGAATGTCACAGAGGTAAATGAACTTAGGCACTCTTTATTGAGCGCTGTCACTCAAGTGAGCAGCATCTACACGAATTTATTGAAAGAAAGACAAAAGCGTTAAAGCGATTGTCGTACGACCTTGAAAAATGTTTTCGGTAAGTGTTCGTTATTTGTTTTATCAGCCAATGGATGAAATGATCAGAACATGAACTCTTCGCTTTCCCGCCAAAGAAAACCCTAATATGGAGAAGGCATAGTTCGATTGGCCAATCGTGTTGCAGTATGACGTCAAAGCGAAGTATCGATTGATTTCGAGAAAGTTTTCGGGTATGAAGTTTTTTCATCCGGGCGTTCGCTTAACCAACCAAAAGCCACGCGCGTTTGTATCCGTTTGATAAATCAATCAAATCGCTCTATTTCCGTTCGTTCTCTGAGTTTTTTTTAGTTCTTTCCTAGACCAGAAACACCAGCACCTGACGTTTTCAGTAGCTGTTCGTTTATCCCTCGCGCGCATTTTGCGACAGGTTTAGTGATGGTTGGTCAGTTACTATGGTTACGAGATATGACATCATAAGTAGCAGGTGGTCAAGCCATTTTTTTAAAAAAAGCATGTTTTTTCATCTTCTTTCAACAACAAAAATAAAGGCTGTGGATTAAATTATGCAAAGTGCTTATTTATGTGTTATTTTACATTTCAAGCACAAAAAATTACCTTTTATCGCATTTTTAACCTGATTTCTAATTCTTGGTAAAATCCAAGATGGCGGTCAAGAGGGCCACCATTGTTGGTGACGTCATAGGCCTCCAGTAGCGCCTCCACCCATAAAATATACTTCATCGTGTTAAGAAGATCAAAGGCTTTCCACTGAAGGCAAAATCGTTTCGAAATACTGCAACATATCAAAAACTCTGGGGAGGGGTTCCATCAACCCCCCCCCCCCCCCCCCCCAGGACCACAAGGGCCCCCAGAACCCCCCCCACCCAAAAAAATTCTTTCACCGGTTTAAAAAAATAAAAGCCTTTCCCCGAAAGGAAAAATCTTTTCAAAAAACTGAAAAAAATAAAAAACTCTGGGGGGGGGTCCCACCACCCCCCCCCCCCCCCTTGTACCACGGTGGAGCTATGAATTTGATTGTACGTCCAAGGGGTAATAACTCAAACAAGTTATTTCACTTTCGCACTGTTTTGTTCCTAAGAATACTGAACCTGAGAGAGATGTCCAAGCAACTAAAGCCTATATTGGAATTCATCTCTCTTACCGTATTATCGCTCAGTTCGGGTGGATATTCTCCATGTCTTTCTTTTCAACTGTATTCTTTCTCAATTAGTTTTCGATATGCACGACAACGTCCACGACTGCGGCGGAGGATGGCACTCTTCGAAGTATGGTACGTTTGTGTTTTATGTCAAATTTATTTTTGAATCTTACGTTAATAGAATGGGCGTTATAGCTCGAATAAGCGTCCAGTAGTTGGGCCTCTTTCAGGTAATTTAGCGCCTTTAGGGACCGTTCTTTTTTTACGAGCTGGCGGGGCTGGTGGGATTTGGGGTGGGGGGACGGGGGGGTGGGGTCACGCAAAAAAAACGGCTTAAAAGGGGGGGCCATCCCAAAAAAAACGGAGGGGGGGTCACGCGAAATATTTTAGTTCATGTAGAGTTGATATGATGTTTTATTATTAAATAATTAACAATTATTCTTTGAAATCGAGGTGAATAGTGGCAAAATATTTACCGAGCCACGAAGTGGCGAGGTAAATATTCCCAAAGCCACTTTTCACCGAGATTGAAAAGAATAACTGTTTTAATATGTACACACGAAGTGATCTCAACAACATTAGAGAGGAAACCATTAAAAAGTACGATTTGATTGACAGATCAAGTCACGCGTAAGTTTAAGAATAGATCTTTGCAGAATTTTCAAACATGGCAATTCACAAGTTTATCATTTCGCAAACCACGGCGTAATGGCTTAAATGGAACTGCTAAAAGTTTGAACTGTTTCCTTACCTGAGAAGAAAAGTAGAGCTTTGTTGTTTTCTGTTGACTCGCCAAGTTTATAGCCAGAAGGGTTTAATTTGTTGCCTTGTTCTTCGCATGAAGTGCTGACAAAAATGGCGGCTCCGTTGCTCGAGGTAAGACGTCACCTCCCTGTATCATTCTTTTTCCTGTTTACTTGAAACGTAGAATTTATGAAAACATTTCCTTTCAAATTTGTTTGTCCTAAATAAACTTCGATTTTTGAGCCAAAATTTTCTGGTTAGAAAACGCTGAGTTCGAGAAACGGCTTCTTCTACGCGAATACACGGGAGTTGTAAACAATCCATTGAGCACAAAACTCAGCTACAGTAAATTGAAAAATGCCGTATTGAATCCTTCCAAGTCTTTTCTTGCGTTAAAAAAAGTCAGCCCTAGGATTTTGTCGACTTGTAAAAGATCGTTCTCTAAAAAGATGGGAAAAACATCGAGCTCACACATTATTCACTCGCTAGGAGGTGAATATTGTTGAATAGTCCGAGGTAGCGAACCAATCAGATTGCTTAAATCATCAAGATCACTGACTGTGTATATGCTAAAACTACATATACAAAAACAAGCAAAAGGTATATAAATGTATCAAAAACTTTTGTTCTGCGTTTACATGACAGCGTTCAGTTCCACGACAACAATTTTCAAAGCTAGGAAACTATCATTAAAAGATTCTTTATCAGGTTAGTGTTGTGCAACGTCTCTCTGCTCATGTTCCTCTTTGTCATTATTGCCAAGCTCTTCCTCATCGCTCGTGCTGCTGCTAGAGTCGCTTTCGTCGTTTTCAGTCATAGCATACTCTTCAGGGTACAAGAAGCAGTACACGTTATCTCTAGCCTCCGGCTTGTGGTTTGCGATAATTCTGCTTCCTGCGGCGTTGCTGAAATGGTTTCCTTGCAAGAGCTGTGCAATGTATGCCGCATCTCGATCAAAAAGCAATTCGGAAACTTTCTCAACGTCGATGCACCCTTCAGGGACGGCAAGGCAAGGAGAATACAGAAGACATTTCGGGAGATCATTACCTAGCGGGTTTCCGACACAAATACTATACACTCGTTGGACGTTGTTTTCAAACCTTTTCTTTTTTCTTGCATTCGATTTTCGACGGTTTTCTTTTTTTCTTCTTCCCTCGCTGATGCGGTCTCTATGTAGCCCCCTGAAAATGCTACGAAAACTGTCTTTACTTTCTTCTAGTGTCTCTGTATCCCGCGTTACCTTTTGCACCTTAGCCTCGACGCACTTGATCTGCTCTACATTGAAGTCGTGAGCAAATTCTTCTCCTTGCTTCAACATAAGCCCATTAGACTGGAAAAGCGTAGAATCATGTTCTTTCAAGGCTTTCACTGCGCTTTTCAGCTTCCCAAGCATACTTTGGTGTTCTTTAATCGAAGAGTTCAATCTCCTGCCATCACTGGGCTTAAGCTGATATCCTGGCTTGAGAAATTCACATGCTCTTTTCGAGCAGCCGTCTGCATTTTGGTGGGCAGCCTCTTTTGACTGCAAAAGATCAAATTGCCGTGTTCTTTCGGCAGTGAACCTATTCTTGAAAGACTGGTCGCTTTCGCCGTTCTTTCTCATTTTGGAATGAGCCTCGTTCGTAATGCCCATGTAATATTGTGCTCTAGTGGATTACCTTAAGCACCTTGAGGTGATGGAGTTCAAAAAGAAGAAGAGAACAGAGGAGCGTGCGAGGGAGAGCCAGAAAACCAAGGAAAAAGTCTATGCTGATTATGCTTGGAACGATCTGTGTGAAGATTCTACCAAACTGAACTTAACAAGTATCTCAAGCACTATGGACTACATCAACACATCAAAAGCCCTAAGAACGACAAGGTGAAGGTAATCGCAAGGCATTGGCTTCTCCAAATGAATCCTGAAGGACCTGATCCATTACTGCTGCAAACACGACTGAGAGAAAGAGATGGAGCTGATAAAGAATCCTTACAAGACAGAGACAGCGATGAAGATGAGTGCAGCAGAAGTGAAAGCGATGATAATGGTAAGAACGACAATGATTCCATCAACTCTGAGGGTGAAGATGTCATCCTTGCCTTTATCGATGACGAGGAAGAAGTTGAGAGGCAAGCAACGACACGCTCTGGAAGATCCATAAACCGAAGATCGGAAATTGACTTTTCTTTCTTTTGATTCTCTATATTTTTTATGTTGGAAAAATAGTGAAGAAGTGCCTTAGCAAATGGACAGAATTTATTTTTTGAATTAACAGAAGTGGTTACTACATCTGTAGAATGAGTTTTCAACAGCTTTACATTGAACAGAAAATACAAATCATATTGTTCACTGCAAAATATATGCATGTCAGGTTTAATTATGATAATGTCTCTTTTGAAAGGGGGGTCACCCCCCAAAGATGACCGTCCGTGGGGGGGGGGGGGGGCAGGACCCCCCCCCCCCCCCCCCCCCCCCCCACCTCGTAAAAAATGAACGGTCCCTTAAACAAATCGAAAAAATGTAAGTAAGCAACCCTTCTAATAGGCGACTCGCCCCTCCCTTGTCATGTTTACTAGGCTTCATTCGCTTGTGCCGGTAGCGCGGCTTGTGAGCACGGGACATCTGCGCTATCTATCCATTATCACAACAATTAACCATAAAACTAACGTAACTGGAGCCTACTGTCAAAAAAACTCATAATTCAAGTTCTACAATTTGTTCCCCTTTGTTTACAGCTACAGAGCGGGTACTTTACGGATACCCCTGTGAAGGTTTAAGTGGAATATATCCTAATAAGGAAGGACTTCTGTTTGTCAAATGAATCAAAAGCTTGCATGTACAGTCGAACCTCCACAATGTTGATCCGTTCATGGCTTCAGCAGTGCAACACGAAGGGCCAGTATTGAGGCTTGGATGATGTTGGGACACCAAACACTAGACCTACACTGTAGCTGGCATAAATGTTCACTTCAATAAGAAGAGGGAACATTCTCGAAACGTCTATTTTTCTTCCTTTTTCAACACGTACTTTGAAAAACGTTGACATTCACTCGATTAATTGTGTCCCACTGTTTCTTCTTATTATTTGTAACACTTCTCCCCCACTAACGGCCAGCTCTCTACAACGACCACCTTTATTTCGCGACAGACAGTCTATATACTTACACCAAATGTTTTAAGCCCTTGGCTACGGATCGGGTCCATTCTGGTTGATATGAAATAATACTTTTGAAATTAAATGAGCTAAACCATTACATCTTAGTAAAATAATTGAGATGACTTTATAAAATATTCACTAAATACATCTGGAGTATATATTGGTAAAGCGCTTAATGGAAGCACATAAATACAAAAGTTAGAACGCCCCGTTTGCCTTCGAGACAATTCTAGCAGGCCTCGTTTGAAGTCGTACAAGAGAAATCAATTATTTTTCCTATCCTCTGCAGTTATGCTTTAGAACTGCAGGATCTCATTTAAAATTTCTGAATACGACGTCATTAAAATCCAAGAAGGGCTATTTTAAAATGGAATACTTTATGAGGGCTAAAATGATGTAGCTGCAGTGTGCAGTAGGAAAACCTTAAAAAGATTGGAAGGAAAAACAACTATGAACAAACAAAGTTTACAATTAAACGTAGCCCCCCGAAAAGGGGGTCGGGCGTAAAACGGTCCAGTGAAATTAGAGGTTTTAAAAAGCCGCGATACTACTGACCTTCATCTTCACGCATATTCTGTTCTTATTGCCTCTTTTGCAACACTAGACATAACGGGGTTTCATTAAATATTCATAACATTTGGCGATGGTACAAAATCTCAGGACAAAACACTGTTAATAGAATATTTTATGAGGGTTTTGAGTTAGAGTAATGGATCTTAATCTGCAGATTAACACTCGTAAATGCAAAGTAATTACTTAATTTGTGGGTTTTAAAACTGGCCACATTTAAGCTTCATCGACAGTTCAGTAATGTTTGCGATTGCTGTATTAGTCCTTTTCATTCACTCCGTTGTGAGCTGCGAGGAACCAAGATGCAATGGAACGTCCTCGTTACCAAACACCCGGTTACTGGGACATGTGTTTCTCGTAAAAGGGACCGACAACATGGTAGGCTGCATAAACATCTGCGACAAACAAACACAGTGTCGAAGTATAAACTTTGACTGGGTTAACTTTCTCTGCGAGTTAAACAAAGCCGATGTCCATATTGCTCCCCAAAGTCTTATTCCAGCCAAAGGATATGTGTACTTGGATAATCCATGGCCAAAAATCCAATTGGTGAGTCACTGGAAAGTTTTATTTTGAAATATTCATAAATGACTATTTTTTGTTTTTTTAAATAGACCATTGGGGCACTAACTTTTAAAAGCTAAACAACCTTAGCGTGTTTTCGTAAGTTCGCATCGGGTTATTCTTATGGTCGATTTCTACGGACGACTCTCTAATGGAATTGGCATGTTTTACTTTTGGTGACTTACATAACACGAGAACGTGATTGTTCCCATCATCCCCTCATTCGGGCCTCTCACTGTTTGTGATGCCCGCTCACCCTCGGAGAGGCGCCCTAAATAAGCCTCTTCGTAGCTGATATATGCCCACTCTGAATAAAATCCAAGAGGGAAATTTCTTTTCTTAAGTAACCATGTTACCGTTTACAAGAGAAATAATGGCACAACATCTACGAAGCTCCATTATCAGTACGCTATTCGTTTTCGATGCTTTACTAGTTATGCTTCCGTCTCTCACTCTCTTCATCAGTTCTCCTTCACTACACCCCACTTTTAACTATAAAGCACCTACTGATCAAACATTCATGCGCTACTCCCACTGGCTTGAATCCGTGCGGCCCATTGTCCTGGTTTTGAAAGTGTTTTAGGGGTAGCCTGGGGCAAGGGTCTATAGGGTTAGATAAATTATGCTGGCATAATTTCGAGCATAATACTATGGTGCCAGCATCGAGCATAATGCCGTCATAATAGTCATGTTTAGGAACATAAATGTTGATATAATTATCCTGCTTATAAAAAAACATCAAAGTAATGTGTTTACAAAATGTCCTGTCAATTGCGGCCTTTGTGGCTGCTTTTTGCACTTATTTGGCTTTTTTGAAGGCTTGGTTTTCTTTTTGAAAGCCTAGGCCCGGTTGCATAAAACGCCCGTAACAACTACGGGTATACGTACGTGCACTCGCAACTTAAGTGAGTTGCATTAAATCACTTAAGTGGTCCACTTAGGGAATTCAATTTAGTGGTTGTATATAATTACGATTTTCGTAAGTGTTCACTTAAGTGTCGGTTATGCAACAGAAATTGCGGGTGTTGCATAAAACCTTTTTTCAGGGGAAAAATAGCACGTAAATTTACGGGACCTATGTAGGTCCCGTATCGTTACTGTTTTTACTAAAGCTAACGAGATCTTTTTCTGAGAAGTGAAAAAAAGTAATTTTTCTTCACGTAATTCTTTCTAATGCGCTTTGTTAACCTCTGATGTACACTTTAAAGCCGACGTTGTGAAAAAAGAAGAAGAATCATCATTTTCAGTAGACATTGAAGAAAAATAACGATTGCATGCAAATTTCATTTTTTTAAGGCTTAAAAGTGTTCGAAACGAATTAAAACTTTCTTTACACTCACCGATGGTTAGCTTAAAAAAAAGAGTGAGTCATTAATAAAGTACTACATCAAAGTTACGTGTGCCTCTAAGTGAACCCGTAAGTTACCACGTAAAAGAGTAACTTACCAGAGTGCTAAGTGCGTTTCATGCAACACCCGTAAGTGTACCCACAACGGATTCGTAAGTGACCTACTTAAGTGGGCACTTAAGTGTAGGTTTTATGCAACCGGGCCCTGGCTACTTACTTTATGCCTGGCTCCCCAAGCTTGTAAGTTTGAGAGTGCAACATGGCTTCCAGGTCTTCCAGTTCTGAGTCACGTCCCTTGAACTCTGAGCCAAGGAGACCCAGAAACCGTGACAAAAATGCTTTCAGCCGATTACAAATTCGAAGTTCGCAGCTTTCCGACCTAGCGCGTAGCTGTGTGGTTACGACAAACAAAAGCAAGAGCAAAGAAAGCTGGGGGCCAGGTAAAGCGACCCAAAAGCCAACCACTGTTGTGAAGAATGTGTCAATCGAGTCAAGGATGAGAGAATATAAAGATGTCGAGCCATTTGCAAATCGAGTGGCAAAATGTTCTGCAGAGAAGAGCTGGCATTAAAAGCCAACATTATCTATGGACACATTTATTCATGGAAGCATAAGGCAGGAAAGGAGATGCTGGCCTAGGTAAAGAAGGGGGAAATTTCAATAGTGGAGGCCATGAAGAAGAGTGTTGTTGTTATTTAAAAGAAGAAAATAATATGTTAGCCCCTATTTTGTCCTTTTTTTTGGCGCAAATTTCACGTAGCATCTTTGAGCATAATGCTAGGGCCGAGCATAATTTCGAGCATAATGCTATGATTTTACGAGTGACGCTCAAAAGCATAATGTTCAAATTTTCGAGCATGATTTATATAACCCTACCAGGGTCTGGAAGGGTATTTTCGGGAACCGGGATTTGACCAAAATACGATGCGGGATTTGGGAAAACGCAAATTATATCTTGACAGGAAATGGGATTTGACTGCTACCCGTTAAGCGGGATTCATCAAAACTTGGGCACGGGATGCGGGATTTTTTGCCTGTCTGTTGCGAATTCGGGAAGTCGTACTAACGGCAAATGCGAATCAAGCAGGTGTGCGCTCAATGGTGTCTCCTATCAGAGCAAACTATAGAGTTATCTTGGTAATGATTATCTCAATGAAACTGTCAAGTAATCAACAGACAAGCGGACAGAAGACTTCCTCTTTCAACCTGATGTCAGAAAAGTACCAGGTATAAACGGTGCTATCTGACCACTTTTAAATAACTTGGTGCATGCATGTCTTTAATAAATCCTCCTCCCTCCCTCTTCCTTTCTTCCTCCTTTTCCCCACTTTCATCGAAATTACTGGGAACAAAGAACCAAATTCGGCGAATCTCGGTTCCCTTCTTTTGCACAGTACTGTACCATGTTAGAAGTACTGGGAACTGTTTTTCTCTTCCTCTCAGACGTCATGTGCACAAATTCAGCAAATATTCCCGGATGCTAAATCTGGCTACTACTGGGTCTACATTAAGGGCAAGAAGGCACAAGTATACTGCGACATGGACAATTATGGTATGAACGCGTTGTATTTATCATGTATCAGTCTCGTCTTTGTTGCTGGCTTAAGTTACTAATCTATCAAGCTGCACCCCTTGAATTTATTAGCTACATGGTTCAGGCAACAGTAAATGATGAAAACGCTTAAATTTAATCTGTTTCAAGGTATGGGAGATGAGTAACCCCCTCTATTTATGCCGCAGGATTGATCCACACACTAACAAGTTACCGTAAACAGGGGGTATACACAGTACCACAGGACACTACTTCTCAGTGGCTAACTCTGAGTTAATGGTCACAATTGGCATTTCATCCACAGTCTCAAAATTATCGTACACAGCTTGGAATAATCTCCAAAGCAGTGATATCATCGACACATGTAGTAGTAGGTGCCAATCGGACAGGAGTTTGTTCGTCATGACTGTGAAAAGGATTACGCTAAACTGCTTAATAGATCAAGTTTCGTTTGCTAATGAAAGAATGTTCTCGTAAGTACAGTGATTGTTATTTACGTCATAAACCAATAATTAGCAATTATTGAAGGAAGATGAGTATGATTATAGAGTTCAATGAAGGTGTTATCACATGATAATATCTTTATTTAAAGATGTTTTCAAACTTCTAAAACTCTCCGAGGTCTGCATAATTCTTCAGGGTGGTACGAAAGCCGAATGGCTAAAGCCCCGCGCAAACGGACGCAACATTGTTGGCAAACAACTCCCAACATTGTTGGGAATTGTTGCGTTCGTTTGCACTTAGCTAAAAGTTTGACCGGTTTCAAACTTAGAGCAACAACTCCCAACAACATGCAACAACATGCAATTACAGAGAGTGCAAACTGACGCAACATGTAACATCCAGTAATGTTGGAAGTTGTTGGTCAACAATGTTGCATCCGTTTGCACGTTCATCCAATAATGTTTTATTATTCATTCAAAATCACTCCTAGTTTTAAAACAAGCTAAAACACTGTGTCTCGATTGATTTTAAGTTCCCGTTTTTATGTACATGTTTATTTCTTGGCTTAAATTCAGGAGATTTAGTTCTGCATATATTCTCTATGTTTTTGGGAAAGTGACTAGTTAGGCCATTCTTCTGGGCAAAACGTGACTGTAAAATGTTCCGCTATATTGTATTGCTCTACTAAAACAACGCAATGTCTCCAGGGTTTCTCGGTTACCGTCCATTTTGTGGCATTTATGCTGTATTATCGACGTTATTTTCCACATACCGCAAAATTTTCAAAATTTGGTCATCGCTAGCTTGTTATGAAGAATTAGCCTGGGGATTTGAGCCAATCAGAAACGGAGAAATATTTTGAATGAACAATATAACATATATAGTGACTATTACATAAGGTACATAGAAAAACAAGCAACAAATATTGCTGTTTTTCACTAGTTGGATAAATTTCTTTTCAGGAATCCTTTTTCAGTTGGGAATGTCTGGCGTGTTCGCTAAACCAACCATAAACCACGCTCATTTTTAATTTGAGTCTGTTTGCTAAACCAATCAAATCCTTATATTCTTCTCTATTCGTTGTTGACGTCTTAATTGACTTAATTTTGTTCATGTGCAATCATTTCAAGTTCAAAAGAAAATCGCTCTTGCCCCCAACCCAGAAACCCGCAAAATGTAACATCTAGATCACGGCAAATTAGAGGGACTCTTCCGGGATCTTTTTTAATCACTTGAACTATTAGGTGGAGGATGGACGCTTGTTGCAAGCATCAGTTCTTCCAGCAATGACCATCTTTTGAGAGCAGAAGTCAACTGCTTCAATTCAACACGTTGCGTTGAGTTCATCAACACTTCAACTCCATGCAGGAAATTATCGGATGAGGACATCCACGAGATTGCAACACACGAAGGTATAAGGAATAGGAACTAGTGGGAGAGAAAAATAAATACATAAGTCTGAACTCAGCTTTTTAATAATAATAATAATAATAATAATAATAATAATAATAATAACAAAAATCTCTGAAAAAGTTGTAAAGACTAAAAGATAGTCCTCTTCCTCATAATATAGCCATGATCATCATTAACATGATGGTCGTCATTGTTAACGGCATCATCGTCATCGTCATCGTCATCACTATCATCATCATCATCAGCATCATCATCATCATCGGTCGACTAGGCGGGACAAAAAGCTTCCTCCACTGCCCGGGCTGAGATCTTGGGAAAGCAAAACACTATGAGTCGGTTATCTAAGCGATGCTAAGTCTAACTTAGACCGTGGTTTAAGAAATCATTTGACCTCCAAATTTCTTTCTTAGTGAATTATTTTAAGAAAATAAGTGCTTTTCCAGTCTACACTATATGCTTTAATGAAAATGTTAACGATAAATGGAGTTGAGATAAAAAAAATTGGGCAAACTGAAAATGGCTTAGAACGCGGTTTTGTTAATTGCTGGCTAAAATCTGTTTAAATAACCGGCTCTTTCTTTAGTTGGCTAGAACATTGCTTTAGTAACAACTAGCGGGCGCCGTGCATACTGGAAATACCGTTTTGTGTGATCATCCTTTACCGTTTTTAACTTTCTAGCATTCTTCCTACATTCAATGGCTCTGTTGTGGATAAAATAGCCTTTTGGACAGAATTTACAAGCTGTTAAAAGACAAGCAGATTAAAGAACTGTAAGCTATAAGGTTTACAAACTATAAGCTTTACAAGGGCTAAGCGTCTGCCATGTAATTTTGTTAAGAGCAAAATCTTCTATTTATATTCTTTCTAGGTACCTTTCGGGTTGATCAAGTCACAAATGGAGTCACTGGATTTTATCAGGTAAAGGCATAAGAACTGAGCGCATGCGCACCCATGTGATGCGGACAAGCTTTGTCTCTTGTTGGGAGTAATTTTGAGTCATTTTTTGCTTTAAGCACTAAATTTATTTTAGGATGAAGTAACCGTAGTGCCTATATGGGCATTTTTCTTTCTACAAAGGCTCGGTTTTCTGTTTCCAAAGTGTGCATTTGTTTTCGGGTTTCTGTTACTATTTACGTTAAAGACTGAGGCATGAATAACACAAAAATACAAGAGAAGGCACGGGTGCAAACTTTCAAGAAGATTGAAAGGAATTTGAATTGTAGCTTTTTAAAAATTCCTAGCCTCACTGTTTTTTTCAATTTCATTTTTGTTATTTATAATGTTTGAAATAATGCTTGAGAGATATATTTGTTTGACACGAAGCAGCAATTTTGTTATTTACTAGTAGTTTCTTCACTAACGTTGACTGTTCCATTCAATCGAGCTTGCTTGGAGATAAGATAAGAAATGCGGAAGTGATTAATTCTAAACGAAACAGGATTTCCTCAGGTCCTGCTTTACCGACGGTCGATTATTCCTCAGGATGTTTATTTTATTCGGCGATTTGTTTCTGAATTGATTGAGTACGCGTGTATAAATACACGAATTACTCAAGGGCCTCGATTCGAAAAAAATAAATAAAAAATAAAAGAAATTAATGTTTCGTCTGATAAAGACACGGCTGAGCTTTATGTTCAATATTTTAGACCTAAATAACTTCAAATCTTAATATTAGTGCAAAAATGAATTGATCTTTATCAGAGATTCTGTAGTCGTTCATAAAACGAGCAGTCGTGTATTATCAGGTTTAAAAACTCTCGGCTTCGCCTCGATGTTTTAAACCTGATAATAGACTCCTGCTCGTTTTTGAATAGCACCTGTTAAGATTCTTCCTTTTTTTCGACCACCGAAGTGTTCACTTGTTCCAAAGTAATCAACGCTTTCAAGCGATAGAATTCGTGGACCGACCCGTTCCGTATAAGCTGGACATCTTTCGCTTTAATCTTTCTAAGCTTTCTTCACGAAACATACATGGCGCTCTGAATGTCGGTGACGCCGCGATTATTGTCTCCCAGTTTCCACGGTCTCCGCTAAGAACGCCTGGGATCGTGATCTCCCTTTTGGTGCGCACACACGAAGAAAAAAAAACAAGAAACGCTTGCATTTTAAGAGTCTCGCTGCTAAAGCAAGCTCGACTAATAAGCAGCACTGACACAGCCCCTTTACGTTCTTTGTTTTAATTACTACTCTCCATGAGATAATTAGTCGAAATCCCATTTAGTGACTATATTTCAGCTAAGGTCAACCATATATATCTCGACTCTTAAATGCCAAAAACTGCACAAAAAATCTTCATGACATTACTTTGATAAAACTTTTTTTTATTATTTTACAGATTCCAGCTGGGGCGAAGATGTTTAATTCTGAATGCCACACCTATAGGTAATAAGATCCTGATAAATTTGAAACTGTTCCCCCATATAAAAATTATAGTTATAGTTGTACCCTTATATAGTTATATATTTATATCGTTATAGTTATATATCAAGGCACAAGCATCAAAAAAGACGGCAGTCTCCATGAAAAAAATATATTCATCACAATTGAAGACACCAGATGTTTCTCCACGATGAACCTTTATTTCGGCTGCATTCAACAGCCTTCATCGTTACAGTTATATAGTTATAGTTAGCAATTATTGAATGAGACTGGGTAGGATGTGAAGAATTATGCAGGTCGAGGACACCGAGGCTGAAGGCCGAGGCGGATAACATCCTCCAAGATCTGCATATTCTTCACATCATACGAAGGCCGAATTCAATGATTGTTTTATTATTCATGTAAACTTCAAGTTCTTAACAAACTTACCTCATCGTAAACTTCTTCTAAACCTTGGCCTAGTTTTCGATGCTGTTTCAGTGTATAAACAGATACTCCTCAAAAAGTAGATAACATCTACTGAGTAATATACTTTGCGTATTTTGGATTTCCTCCGTTCAGATTTAGTTAGAAATTCAGCTATTTCGTCTTCGGATAGCCGTTAATGCCATTTTGATCGATGGTCTATTACTCATGAAGCGTCCTTTCCAATCAAATATACTATCGATCGACCTCGTTTCCAATCAAATATACCATCGAATCGATGGTATATTGCCGGCATGATAAGCCCCCGTTAGTTATGAAGAATTAGCCGGGGGAATGGAGACAATCAGAAACGGCGAAATAGTTTGAATGGATAATAATTGTAGTTATAGTTATATTTAGCTCTAAGAGCAATTGCTTTTTCCCTTTACCGTCTTCATAGCTGCCCTCGTATCATAACGTCTCACGTCTACCCATACAAGTGGGAGTCAAACTGCAGGGGGATACGGAATGGTTATTTCATAGTTCGCGGTTCTTGCCACAGAGGTAACATGCCGCTGTCAATGCCACTATTACTGCTATTATTACTAGCTTCATAAGAAATCCCACAATAATCAAACTAAAAGTTTGCCTTTAAAATGCCAGGAACTGAAAGCTTTGATGTGTATAACTTACGTCAATGACACGTTAAAATGAAAAAATTGAAAAGAAACTTAGGGTAATTGAATTAAAACTCAAGATTTATTTCATTTCCAATTTCTTGCTGCTTTATTTCTAAAAGCAAATTGAGAGGGATGACCTAGCGAGTAAAAAGCCTATGTTGGAGATCAGCCTAGGAAGGGGTGGGGGGGGGGGGGAATTTCCCAATTAGAAGGGGGGGGGGGGCGTCTTGGAAATTTTGAATTAAAACAACAAAAAGGAACAATCTTGGCGTGGTTCAACCTTTTTTTTACCCCCAAAGTCGGAAGAGGGCGTGGTGGGGGAAGG